TCCACCGGCTGGAGAACCATGTTGAAAAGAGCGTGAAACCCTTGCATAAACCTTTCTAGCTTTCACACCTTTGAGATGAATGCTAAGGCGGTGGGACCTGGGTTTCCATGTTTGCTTGCAATGATGCACACTGCAAAACCATGCAATGAAGCTTGTTCCAACTATCGGAATGCTTTTCTCTCCGATGGACAGGCTTGAGATGCCTTGAGAATAATGGGCCCCTAGAATCAGGGGTTGTTTCGGCAAAAGCGGTGGCAGGGCTTTTATGGGAGGGTGCGGCGCGCACCCCACGCCAATGAGACCACTGCTATATTCATTGGGCCGCATTGCGCGCAAACACCCTCACTCCTAACATCGGCAACAAACATCATGTTCACCAAAGATTTCAACAACACAAAGTGTCAACAAACATCCATGAACAGACTGTTTAACCCACCCTGCCACTATTTCAACTTCAGGGCTTCGCCCGCTCCGATGCTACAGCTTGCGAGCAAATAGTATTTCGGTTTCAGTGGAGTAACCACTGCTGGCACCTCCTCTCCCACTTTCACCTCCCAGGATTGGACACTATTGGACATGAAGTGTGAGGGTTGACTCCTGGTGTTTGGACATTCGTTGGATTCCATCTTTTGAGTTTCTGACCCGCCCGCCTCCCAGACGATGTCGCAATGAGGCGCAGTTGGGATTTGCAAGATCCGGTCATGGAAGATGCCTCCAAACTGACCAGCGCGCAAGCCTGAGTTATCTGCTAATGGCTTCGGCTTGAAGGCGTTGATTTTGGTATCCGGCTGGACTTCATAGTGAAATTTGAGCGGGATCTGGCCACCATCAGGCCCCGCCTCCACAGAAAGCAAATACTTCCAACGTCTACATGATTCCCAACACATGTTCAAACAAATCACATGTTCAAACTTCTACATGATTCCATAGTCTTGAATCATTCAGCCTTCACCATGCCATTCAAAGAAAGATCGATCACACGAGCTTCTGTAACTCCACGAGTTCTGGCCACGGAGCACAGTAGGTCTGCCAAGGTCGTTGTATCTTTCTGAGTGACTTGTGTGCCCGCATCGCCCACCGAGGTCTTGACCAGGATGAGGACCGACGAACCCTTTCGGATGGACCATGGGATGGCAGTGTTGCACGGTGTTCCTCCAGGGCCAAAGTATTCGATTGAACATTACCCCAATGGTGACCTCAATAATGACCCCAAAGCTTCAAAGCTATGTCAACCTTTTTGGTCACTTGTCCTGCCGGCACTTCCACATCTGCGCCACGGGTGAGGTTGACAGCTGCCACCCCACGGTTCACAAGCCACAAATTGCCCGACTTGGTGAAGGCGACTTCAACGGAGGGTTCTCGGGCGAGCGGCGCAAAAGCTTCCAACCTGTTCGAGACAGAAGGATCAAACATTGACCAAATTTGCTGGGCAGTCTTGAACATGATAGTACATGGTTATACATTAAACCCTTGGCGCAAAAGATAGAACTTTTGTTAATGCACAGCTAGTCACTCATTGCCAGCTTGAAATTCGGCCACAGGGATCCCAGGGACATGCAACCTCTTGTTCCAGTTGATCGGCCCATCACTTGCCCCCCATTCTGGCGAAGCCATTGTTCCGCCACCGCTTCCGGACGTAGAAGACCCAGGATTGGTTCAAAAATGTTCAAAAGATCCTGTAAGTGATATCTCCCAAAAAATCAAATATTAACCGACCCAAAGACTTCAGCTCGTTGTCCACCACAGTCAAGCACTCCAGTTCAGGGATCCCCTCTGAGAAGGGCTCTGAAGCACGAGCCTTCGGTCCAGCAGCCTCTGAGATGTCCCACCACTGCTGCATCGCCCGACCACAGACGAGCTGCTGGCAGGACTCCGCATATTTAGCGCAACATCCCAGGCCCGGTCCTCTGGGGATGTGGCGATCAAGAAGTCGCGCTGGAGTTGCCAAGCTGCTTGGGACCATTCGGAAAACCTCCAGGGTAGAGTGCAATAGGTTCTTTGCACATCTCATTTCCCATCTCCCATTTCACGTTCTATAGTATCAGTAGGAACATGGAATCATTTTAGTCTCATGGGATATTGAAACCTTGATGGCGGCAGGTCGACAATCAGCAAGGGATGGGCTTCGCGGGTGTGCATTCCAGTCAGCACTTGCTTGATGATGTCCACGCAGGCTTGCGCACCCCTCTGCTGCACCTGTGATATTGGAGCCCATGGTTGGTTGGTTGGTTGATTAGTTGGTTGGTTAGTTGGACAGCGGCTCATGGCCCACCCGAACACGATCCGAAAACGATCTCTCAACCCACCAAGAAAAGTCATGATGAGACAAGCAAACTCGCCAGTGGGGCGCTAGTGGCTTGTCGGGCTCCGGGTTGCTCAGCTCGTTCACCCTCGCCCGATCCACATCGTCGATGGCTCCCGCCAAGGCCTTGCTGCGAGCCCATGGCATGGGACTTCCGTCATGCCAGGAGCCACCCCTGCCAAGCCTCATTTGCTTGCGAACTATCGGTTGCCACAAACCCTGGAGAAAAGGACAAACCTGTTGCAAAAACCTTTTTTCAAACAACCTATTGTTGTTCCAAATGTGTTTCGGATGCGTTTAGATAAAACCCTTTTGTGAACAGAAGCAAGAAACACTGTTGGCTTGTCTTCCTGCGATCTCCTCCATGCTGGCTGTCTTTGTAGACAACGGCGATCTCGTACACGTCCAAAGTTCTGGGCGATGTGTTTTTGAAGAGGGGCAACTGGTGAAGAATCCCAAGTCTATAGGTGATGCCTTGATTGGGTGCTTGGGCGTTCCTCGAAAAACATATAAAAGACATGAAAGACATAAAAGACACCCAAGATTCCCTACCACTTCATCTTCTAGCAGTCGTCGATTCTTCAGCACTGCAACCTTGACCGCGCTGCTGTGCCATTGTGGCAGGAACCAAAAGGAACCTGATTTAGGGTTCCCAGAGGTCACGCCCTGCGCCACTTGGACCGCTTCGTCGATTGACAACGCACCTCAGGCCCAAGATGGCTTTAATGTAGGTTGGACAATCACCTGATTAATAAGTGGTTGAAGCACAGGCGCGCGTTGGCCACAAGGTTGCATCTGCAATCAAGACGGTCAACCTGAGTGTCGGTGCATGGATCGAGAAACTTGCAAATTTGCACTGAACAGTTTTGCACTGAACTTGTGGCAGTATGCCCCATGCAGACCGAAGAATGCCACACAACGCGATGCTTCTCGGCCAGGAGCTTGTCCACTGCAGCCTTGCCTTTGTCGTAGCGGTCTGAGAAGTACTTCACATCCATTGATCCCTGGCGCGAGGGAAGATGAAAATAATAGGGACAATGGAAAATGTTCTTTCATATGTTCATATATATATATAATATATAGTGACATGGCGTGAGACTGTGAGACCATTTGGCATGTTTTGAGATCAGTAGGAGGGAGCCTGCTTGGAGATGAAGCCCTCAAATTTCCTAGACCATTCAACTTGTCCTGCTCCGCTTGCAACTCCAATTGTTGCCATGTGGTATTGAGCAATTGTGGGCTGAGCCTCCCACAAACGATACAACTCAGATCACGATTGGTTGCCCTGCCCAGTTCTTAGGCCGAGAAGCTGCTGAGCCTTTTCGAGGTTCCGCTTCTCCACCTTGGGACCGGTATGGCGGGACGCGAATGGTCTTTCGAGTTCAAAGGGAACTAACTTTCCAATCAGGTTTGGGGTACAGCAGACTGGTGAATACGCACCTGGCCTCTGTCGAGAATTTTGAAAGATGCACTGCGAAGACGCTCACTTTCGAGAGGTGGTACTCCTCCATCGAGCATCGCCAACAAGTCAGCGTCTGCATGGCGCTTTTCAAACCTGGGATATGACTGGTTGAACTGAAACATCCTTTCAATGGTAACTGATACAAACTTAAGCTTGAATGACTGACACCCTTACGATGAGCAACGCTTTGTTCACCTCGATGAGGGCAGCATCACTGAAAGCTGTCGGAACCATGGATTTGAACTGATCGACGCAAGCCACAAAGAGGCAACTAATCTTCTGGAGTGGTACCTCAGAAGGAGAACGGATTCCAAACCGAACCTATATGTTTAGTTGATCTGGAACAAAACTATGGTTCACCAAAGCTTGTTCTTAGTTGCCAAATCCTTCATCCCCCCAAGGCTTCCGCATTTTGGGTGTGAGACTGACCCAATCGCTTTCCATTCTGTGCAGCATGAACACCAGGGTCTCATGTGTGTTCTGGAGCTGGGTCTTCCAAGAGGCATGTGGACCGGTGGCACTACAATAGTTCAGATTCAGCAATCCTTCCGCTAATCCATCATGGTTGATGAACTTTGGCATCGTGTATTGCCTGGCTTGCCGTCAACAAGACCCTGCTTGACAAGCACCTGCCTGGTCCAATCACAAAATACCCGGTTCCAATTGTCCCTGCCTCACCAAGGAGGTCAATCCTTCCTTGATGTCGCTCGGTATGCGCCGCATGAGGTTCATGGTGGCGGCTGCTTCATGCTTTCCAAGTGCATATGCGGTTGCGAAGGTGGCAGCGGATTCCTGGGCCTGATGAGGTAATTTGGAATGTAACATTGAACATTGCATTGGCACGTTCGGAATTGGTGTTCTTCGCATGTTTTTCATTCTTGCCCCTGCCTCTAGCGTTTTGAGACTTGCTTCTTGATTGTGTCCACACCGCATCAAGAACTCGAGTTGGAAGACTAGGTTGAAGCAGTTGGGCCTCCTGCGGACCGAAGAAGCCATTGTCACTCCTCATCATCTCAAGACACTGAGCAAACACATTGGGTCACATGCATTCAATCTGCGCTGGAAGGCATTGTGCAGCTGGAGTGCCACGATTTGTGTTCACGATCATCGTTGAATCAGGTGCCGTCACGGTTGTGTGGACGGTGGCAAAGGATCTTGGCGAGTAGTTTGATAAAAAAGGTCGAACCAAGAGATTCTTGTTATGTAAAACATATGAAGGGTATAATTCGGTATGATATAAGATGTACATATTTGCAATGCGACTAGTGCGAGTCCAGGGGCTCTAGCACCTGCTTGGGCAATGCCTGACGGTTCAACTCAACAAACATATGCATCCCTGTGTGCTGTTTTCATGAAGTTGTAGTCAGCCCCAGGCCTTCAACAGCTCCTTATTCTTGAAAGCTGCGTATAACACACCCAATCCGCAGACTGAGCGATTCCAGCCCTTGACCATGAAGATCTTCTCTGGTCCCAAAGGCTCGGGTGGTGCGTTGAAGTCAGAAGCCTCAATCTCCTCACGAGGAAGCTGTAGCCATTCCTTTTGAAGCCATGTGCCTACAACGCGTTCACATCCAGGACAATCTGGGTTGGTTTGCAGGCCATTTAGGCATATCAGCTGCATCAGCTGATGCTGCACTTCCTCAATGCAAAAATGGAAAACCACAACATGCGCAGGTGCACCTTGGAACACTAGGTATCTGGCAAATTCCGACGTCCCACGCAGACCAAAATCTGCGCGGTGTGGAAGCTGCCAGGGTCGTAGGTGAAGAGCCAGCTTAGGCCCGTTGAAATCGGTCGCCATGCAGTATGACCTCAGCCCATGAAGATTGGATACAGGCTGTAGGTTAGTAGAGTCCCTGAGATCACCACACAGCTGGGTCAGCATAGACCATTGCTTCCACCCACTGGTAGAAAGCGGTGGCTGCATCCTACTGACTGTAACATTCCCCCCCAACAAAAATTTGTGTGCAAACATTCACCTGTCCTTCGAGTCGAGTTCCTCTGTCAGGTAGGCGTCCACAGTTTTGTTGGGCTTCAATATGTGTTCCACCCTTGGCCCAGCAAATGCTTGTAACATCTTGTAACGGTTGATGCTATCATATGCTATCATTCCTTTTTCCCCAATGCATACCGCGCAAACAGTTGATACAGTGTTCGATAGTGTTCGGTATTCATTGATTTGGCCATGTAACAGCCACTCATCCAAGAGCTGCATATGGGGCATTGACCTGTGATCTGGCGGTAGGGGTGGGAGCTCACCCTTCTTGGCTTTCGCCTTCGGCCCCGCGCCGGTTCCAGGCGCTGGTCTTTTCTTGGGCGGCGTCACCTGGCCCAGGACCGGTTTCAAAGAGAATAAAACTATTATGTGTCGAACTACCAAAAAGCAGCAGATCAATTCCTTGTTTGGTGTCCCCGAGCCCTTTGTCCACAAGCATCTCTCCAGAGATTGTGAATAGTGTTGCTCCAATTCACTTCGGTTTTGTGAATGGCAAATCCTTCACACCCAGCCATGTCTCTCAGTTGCCCATGATTGTGCCGCGGGGCGACCCGTACATTCACAATCACCCATGGGATTTTTTGAAATCAATTCAACAGGCAAACTCAAATACACAGTATGCAGATTTGCTCTGAGTTGGATGGTGCTTGTGCCGTGGAACGACCCGATCATTCACAAACAGCGGTCCGCCAAAAGCCGGGTTGCCAGTTAGGAAATTGCCTTTCACAATCTCAGTGGTTGGGCACCCCTGTCAGTTCACAAACACACCTGTGTTGGGTAGGATGTAGCCTCGAAGCAAACGAAAAACAAATGGAACGGTTATTGAACAGTGATCTCAGTGTCAGCTCCACCCTGAATCACAGGTGTTCCCCCCGAAAGACAGCCTAAGACTTGCCAGACGCAATGTCGACTGCCTTTGAAACTATTTGAATTGCGCGGCTCATGTCAACACCTTCTCTCCAAAGCTGCGCTGCAGCACTGTAAAGAGCTTGATACCCCCTTGCTGTTCTGAAGCGTTTTGCTTCATCGCCATCCAACGACTCAGACACCAGCTTCAATTCATTTGCTGCCTAGGCAAGAATACACAAGTGTTTAACGTTAACATTAATCTGTCACACGCACATCAAATCCCAAAGTCCCCAAGTCCCCAACGCACGTCAAATCCTGAGCGGGAGGAAGGTGCTTAGCCGATGATCCGACAGCAACTCCATGGTGGGGTAGTGCCCTGAGCCGAAGGGGCGCTGGGCGGAAGGGTTGTTTTGAAAGCATGAGGTTCGAACCAGTGGCAATCCAACATAGCCCCCCTCGACAACGCCCAAAGAAAGCTTTTCCAATTCTTTGGCGGCGTCGTGCATCGCCCAAGGCTCTTGACCTTAGAACCAACTATTGTAGTCCAGGAAAAAGCAACGATTGGTATTCGTATCAGAACAGTTCTTGAATAAGACACGGACGCATGATCTGCGCATATCTTCGCAATGTCTTGTTTTCTTTAGACTCTGGGTTGATGGGGGGGCTCCGTGAAGACTGGCGAAACAATATCGACGCAGTCAATGAATGGCAATATTGATGCCAAAACATGTGTCCATCAGTGTCATTCATTAGCCCACCTGGAGGAACACGGCCTTCGCACCTTCTTCCGACCGAAGCAGACAGAAACAAGTAAACTTTGGAATCCCATTCTGCGTTGCTGAGAACCTTTTGGTCCTTGCAAAGAAAAAATACATACTAGGCAGGTTGCTCATTTCTAAACCCAATGTTCACCCACAAAACGACATCCCAAAACAGTCCTGAGTATGACATCACTTGCGGATCGTTCAAAGCACTTTCTCCTCCTCCAGAAAGCGTCGTTGACATCTTCATGCCGAATGCCTGGCGGTTGCAGAGTTCTCAGAAGCGTGCACGGGGCACAGTGCGCACTTGATCATGCAGTTCATGAACACACTTGCTCTTGATCATACAATGGAGCTGAACAGTCTGGAACCTGTTATCGCACCAAATGTGGTGCACCAGGGCCACCGATTCCACGAAGTTGGACTTTGTAAAAAGGGTCATCGGTCATGGAAGAAGTTCTTCCTTAATTTCCCAATTTCAGAGAGTCCCACCAGATTGCAAATGATCTAGAACATATTGTAAAAGATCTATAAGCAAAACATTGCTCGTTTGTTGAAGGCTCCAATCCCGATATTGATTCATCATGACGACTTCTCTCAGTGGTTCATTGGGTCGCCGGGTGGGGTCTTTGAAGTACGCTTCAAGGCATGAGCGGAACGACGCAGGGGTTGGCAATTCGGTGTGAGAGTTTATCCAGCTTCGGAGGTGGCCAAAAAGAGCGTCTATATTTTCATGGCTGTGGCCACTAGATAGGCAGCTTATTTCACTGGACTTCAACTTGTGTTGTACAACCCATGCCCCCAGACACCTGAGAATGCCGTTGTTCTTCAGCTCACGACAACAGTTGTCTCCTTGGAGCGTCAATGAGACGCTCCGGAGATCAACTGTTTTGCTGACCATTGTGAGGCCGCGACTGATGATCTCTGCCGTCCTGGAACTGTTCGAAGTCACCGTGCTTGGACTCAGTGCTAAGCAAAGACAGTGGCCCTGTAGAATCAAAGTTGTGCTAGTCACAGTCAAACGGGGTCTGTTCATTGCCGAGAAGTCCTTCGAGGATAGGACCTGCGATCTCGGCCACGCGTGCTTGGCAGCGTCCATAGAGTCTATTATTCCACACAAGTGGTAGACATACGGGTGTGAGCTTTCAAGACGCGAACGGGCTCTGCTGGCCCAATAGACCTGCCGGTCATCACGCTGCCTTTTGAGGTGTCGTTGGAGTATCTCCACTTGAGATCTCCTTGCAGGCGGGCAATGCCCGAGGCGTCTGATGATAGCCCGGTGCTTCAAGCATGTAGAGCGTTTGCTATGGTGTGTCTTAAACCTGATTCGCAGTCGGTCTTTGAAGCTTTGCTGCCAAACCTTGGATGGGTTGCGCTGGATGATGATTAGATGGTAGCTGCCGGTAGACTGTAACAAGTCAATCAAAAGATCAACATCCAGTTCAACATATTTCAAGCAACGGTGTTGACAAGCTTCTTGGAGATGGTCAGCGTAGGGCCCACTGAGCAGCATTGAACATAGTAGTCGTTGATAGACTGGCCGCTGATTAATGTATTCTTTATATTCCTTCTCAATGTTCCTGAAAAGTTTCATTCTGCACCAATCATATCATACAATGGAGTCTGTTTGAGACAACCTGAATCATTTTGGTAGGATTTACATATCATCACTTCTGAGTGGCTGGTAGGATTTGAGTAGTAACATCAGAATAATTTATGCGCTGAGTGGTTGGATGGTTGGAGTGGTTGGAATTAGAACTTGAAAATTATTAGAACGATTTAGGTTATGTGTTGAGTTGAGTGGTTGGTAGGTTTCAAGAATGATTGCTTGTTGTTTATGTTGGGTGTGCATCACTAGGGAGGGGCCAAGTCAATGTCCAAAATGTTTTCATGAAACACTGGCTGAGTCAATGACTTAGCTACAACCTTACAAAACTCTGTCTGACAGTGTCAAGTAGTCAATGCCTATGAACAGTTCATAACCAAAAAACATTTAACCAAAAAATCATTGACAAGAAGAGTCATCTGAGTGGTTCATAACCCAACAGCACTCAGCCCATCTCCCTTATTCCACTGGCGAGGCGGTCACACAGCAGTCCATCCAATCATAACCCAACAGCACTCAGCCCATCTCCCTTTTTCCACTGGCGGGGCGGTCACACAGCAGTCCATCCAATGGACCTCAGACGGACAAGAAGTGGAAAGTGACAATGAAAATTCGGTTGGTGGGTTGTTGTTTCGCATGCAATGCACGCTGAACTTTTTCCACTCATTGTCGGCCAATGCTTCGATGGCCCGCGATCTCGGCCAATTAAAGTTCGATGGCCAGGGATCTCGGCCAATGCTTCGACGGCGCTTAAACTTAAAAGGAAAAAGGAAAATTCGCATCCATATCCTGGATTTCACCATGCTTGCAGTTTCAAACTCTTGAAGTTCAAACTATCCTTACATCCAGGAATGGATACTCAGGCCAGCTTGCCATCAACCATGGCATACAGCCCGGATGGCCCCATCATGGTCTTTGCCCTCACCAACATCGCCAACTCGAAACTCAACCGATCCCTTTGCAGCCTCAACTCAGCGAGTTGGTTATCCAACCGGACCCTCTTTGACTGAGTTGGCTTTGGTCTGAGCCGCTTTTTGGGTAGTGTTTTGGGCTTTGGTGTCAAAGGCGGCGTGAACAGCATCGGCGGGGCCTTTGGCCCCATGGGTGGTGTCACCGGGCACACTGTCTTCAAGTCCAAGGTCTGAGTCGCTTTCTTCTCCTGTTTCACAACTTCTGTGGTCTGTGTTTTGAACTTCTGTGTCACATTCTCCTTCGTTGTCACCTTCTTCACCTTCCGGCGCATCTTGCGACGAGAGACAGGAATGCACTCTTCCCACCCTTTGTCCGAAGAGTGAGTACTCGACGACCACTCATCTGCACTGTCCTCCACCACGACCTCCTCCATCTTAGACGTGTCATTCCTTGCAAGCAAACAGCACGTGGGACCAGACAAAGAAAATGGCAACCCAAACAGTCAAACACACAGCCACAACAGCAAATAGAAAAGTTCCAGCCAGTGCCAAATTGCAAGTTGGTGTAGAAGAGTTGGCTTTGGGGCTGGGAGTTGATGTTTTGCCCCTGGGCGTGAGAGCCACTCGCATTGAACTGCTGGACGAACAGGAGCGGAGAACTCATGGCTTACAGGTGATGGGAGCGATGGGAACCGGGATGAGGCTGCCGACTTGGCACAAAAAGTGGAGTGGGTCCATGGTTTTAACCTCAAAGCTGTTCACTATCACTTTCCTTGGCAAAAATGACGTTGGTCAGTGACGATGAAGTTCCATGTAGTCAAACCTGGCCAGTGGCAGCTGGGAAGCCAAATGGCTGCCAGCGCACTGAGTAGCCACGACGATGAACGTTTAACAACGCCATGACAATGACGACAATGACCATGTGCGAAAATGGAATACGCATGACTGGCTGACTACATCATGTCAAATTGACCGAACATGACAATGACCATGCTCATACATGACAACGTCACTGACCATTGACCATGCGCGAGAACAACCCGCTGGTTGACGCTGCAAGGCGCCCAGTCTTTTGGCGTTCCCAGCGCCATGCGCAGCCATGTCCAAGAGACTTGAGCACCGTCAGAGCCATTCACCCAACTTCCCAGTCTACACACATCATCAGTGTCACAACCATCTCACTTCTGTCAAGTTTTCTTGCAGTCACTTGCAAATCTGACCACTGGGCCGCAAGCAGTGAAAAAAATGGGTTTGGAACTAAGACCTTCTCAAAAAGCAGCAGGTCCAAACCTAAGGCTTGAGAAACACAATAGACATGAGACTCCCAGAAAAAACAGACCTTCCAAAAACGCTGCGCGTAAGACAGATTGAGCTGCGCGCGACCAGTGATACCACCCAACATTGGCTTCTCAGATGCTGCGTGGGTCGTTGCTCAAACCTGTGGAAAGCAGCCGTTTGAGATGGACTCCTGCTGCCATGCGGCGAACCAAAAATTCCAGCCTCAAGCTGAGAAGGCGTTCTACACGGAATCCTCCTCCTCCTCATCATCATCCGAGTTGCCCTCCTCAATGCTGCCATCATCGATCTCCTGGCAACGGTCGGTTAAAGTATGTCATGTGTGAGGCAAATGTTTGACAATGACCATGTATTCTGGTGAAACAAGTTGGTGAACGACTATAACTATGAACCCTCAATGGTTTGAAACTTGTCGTCCTCCTCGTCTTCTTCAAGAAGACCGCCATCCTCCTCATCATCATCATTGGCCTTTCGCTTTTTTTGGAGCTTTGCCTTTGCCACGGCCCTTCTTCCCTTTGCCACGGCTCTTGCGCTTCTTCTTGAGAGCACTGCTGCTACCACCACCGCGAGGCTTCTTCTTAGGAGCCGGCTGACCCTCCGCCTCTTCATCATTTTTCTTGGTATCCTTGATGGCTTTGGCCAACTCCGGTTGGTAGTGTCGAGATTTGGCCTGGCACATCATCTTGAAGAGGGTCTTGCTCGCGTTGTCTTGGTACCAAGTCTCATGCTTTGCAGAGTAGCCTTGGGTCATGCTTGCGTGACAGTCCGACTGGTTGTTCTGAAAAAAACCAAGTGAGTCAATGACAGTAGGCCAATGACAGTCAGTCATTGACATCATCACTTTAAACAACTGCTCGTCCAAGAAACAAATTGCCAAGGTCGGGATTTGGTTTTCCAGCACGCAGGTCAGGATACTAGGGCATGAGGCCGTTGCCAAGACAACGGCCTTTGGGCGAAACCGGTGAACAAGTTCCTCGAAAACCTTGGGGCGCAGGATGGACCAGTCCATAGGCTCCAGGCCAGGAACATCTTGACCTCAAAACGACGTGGTGAACCAAGGTTGCACTGACAAACAGTGAAAGACTAAACAAATTATCATGCCACCTAGAAACCCTTTCCGCTGGACACACGGCTCTCATCCGAAACTCGGGCGCTAGCAAGCATCGCGTGCTTGTCAGCTGTGGCCAGGACAGGAACATCTTTGAGGTTGGACTTGAAGCACTCCATCAGGCAACTTCCAGATGTGGTTCCAGAATGATGCAAGTTCTTCCGAGAACCAACTATGTTGCTCATGCGAGTCGCATCACCAGGCACAACGACAATCGTCTCGTTCTGGGGGAGAGTGAAGACCTCATTGTGATAGCCAGGTAAACAGGTAAACGGAATCAAATTGGAATGAACGTGGTCCTATTATTAAATCAGGGGTGAACGAGTCAGTCCAAGTAAGCAATGCGAAGAAAACACATGATAAATTACAACATTCCGCAGCTACAACGCCCAGAAACTCCACGCTCAACTGAAGATCCAGACAAAGAGCGGGCCTGAAGACACAGGATGGTTGAAATCGTGAAAGTCATCATTCCATGACTACAAAAAGGGTTACGATGAAATAACAAGTTGAAAAGCTAGCCTTCCTGTGCTCCTTGACGCTGTCCTCTGCATAGCTCACGTTGAAGGTGTGCTTGGCATATGGTCCTGACTCAACCGCCTTGAACAACTGCACGAATGCAGACTGCGTCCCGGCACGCCCACCATCCATGAAGAGATACCTTCCAAATGTAGCTACCAAGGGCAGGTGCGAATCAGAATGGGTCAGTGTCCAATTTTGTCCCAAGGTCAGTGTCAACCTCAACTCAACTCATTTGAGTCAATGACACACCGATACATGTAAGTGACACGAAGTGTCAAGGACATATCCCAAAATACGTGTCAATGACATCCACTCAACTTATTGGAGTCAGTGACTGTGACATACAGGGTGCCAACATACCACGCACAAGTTCAAGTGTGTCACTGACATGTAGGATGTGTCAATGTCAATCAGTGACTGCTGATTTGACATTGTCGTGCATTGTGGCCGTGCGACACATCGCTAGGGTCCAGCTGTGGGAACACGAGTTTGTCGCTGTCGTCGAAGTTCAGCAGCTCCTCTCCGCGGCTGCAGAAGATGGCTCTCATGATCTTCTCCTGGTGGTCTCTTCTAGCAGGGGTCGGGGACCGCCGGGAATCTTTCTCGTGTTCACCGGCCGCTTCGATGCCATACAGGACAAGGAAGGAGTGGTCAGTGCCGCCCCTCAACTTCATCACATCCATCCTAAACAGCAGCTTGGCCAACTTCTCCAGCGACTGGCTGCCATCCACCGTCTGGATCTGGGACTTCACCATGCGTCGCGAGAGCTCCACAGCGTTTTCAACTGTTTGCCTTTGGCTTGAATGTTCGGGCATCTGGAGCTTCGACAAAGCTTCCACCTCCACGAAGTTGGACAAGGCATCCATGCTGCGGCCTGATCCATCCAAGTCCACATCCATGACTGCCTGCTCGGTTCCAGAAGCCACGATCTCCTGCCATGTTTTGTGAATGTTGGCGTGTTCCAGCACCTCCTCAAGGCTTTGGCTGTGACGTACAGCCTGTTTCACCATTGCATCATAGGATTGCCCAAACAGGAACTCAGAAACGAAGGTCGCTGCTTTCTGGCTTCGTGGGTCCAAGCCTCACTGAGTCAAATGCGCGAAAAACTGGTTTGTAGTTTCAAATGGTGACTAAGCTGAACTTGGGTAAGCCAAGGTAAGCCCCTCCTATCCCCTCCTAAAATGGCCTCAACACCGCCCAAATTTGATGCACCGCCCTGAGAAAATGGTTTCTGTCATCTGTCATTATTTGTTGTTTTTAATCTGCTCTTTCTGCTGTAGTCGCAAACCAAAATATCACCATGAACTGAGAAAAGGGACATGCAATCCATGGCTGTCCGTCAGGGACCTTGATGTTCTTCTGCAGGGCTTCCTTCGTAAAGGGTCGTCCACCAAAGGTATCCCGGTAGGTGATGTGGTCCTTGAGGTTGTTCCTGAAAAACAATGATGTGGTCAGCAGGGCAACTGGCAGCTAGCTAAGTTCAATCAAGGTTGTCATTGACGTGGCAAACAACTCACTATGAATAAAGTTGAAAGGTACCGGAAGTTGAGTGGCTGAGCGATGGTGAACCATTCCTTCCACACCCGTCCTCAGCTGCGCTGAATCCGATGGTGGCAAATGCTGGTCCATCAAGGCCAGAAGTTTGGGCTTTTGCTGGTACTTCCACAGCCACACGGCCATCATCCTCGCAACAGGTGCTTGGACTGGGAGTCAGTGTGGGGTCAGCAGGGTCAATGATGGTTTTTTATCAAGGAAATTATTCGAGCCAGGTCGCCCTTTCGATCCCTT